TTGTATACTGAAAGGATTTTCTAAAACTCTGAGTCTGCGTACTGAGAAATGATGGCAACATTCATTTGGAGTGCGGACATTTTCTAAAACTCATACTGTATCCAGTTTGGTTGTTCCTATAGCTACTGCTGTTTATAGAACAGTCGAGCTTGAACCATGTGAATGCTTAGAAATGTCGATGGTGGTAGCTTTATTGTTTTAACCAGGTTCATTTTGTTAAGAAAAATAAAAGGATGTTAATTACTTAAAGCCAGCAAAAATGGTGGAGTCAGGACCTCTGAAAATTCTTCCCGTCACAAAAGCAAGGAGAAAACTGGCAAAATTGTCAGAGTCAACTTTTTTTAGATCTCGAAATTACCCAAAGGCTTGCAGCAATCCAAAGACTATTTACTTGAGAAATAGCTGAATCTCAGAACGGTAAGCTTCGTGGCATTTTAATTTGCCCTATTTTCACTCCCTCCTTCCCCTCTCCAGCTCTGTTGTGTTCTTAAAAACAACAGTCCACAGTCCAGGGAGAAGCAACAGTGTAGATGCCACTGGAGGGGTGAATGGGGGGTTAGAGCTCTTTCAAATTCTTATTCCCAGCGAATTGTCATTAGTTGAGTTGTCTGGTGGTTCCCTGGAAGACCTCACTTGCAAGGCTATCTTTGTTTTGCCTGATCCGAGTTTGCCAAATGTGAAAAGCCTTTTTCACAGGGACATTGATTAGGAGGGAAAAAAATCAGAGGCAGTTCTGGCTGCCTGAAGCAGTGAATAACTGTAAGAGAAAACAATAGGCTAACCCAGAGCTTAAAAGGGAAAGCTGAGGAATTAGGTATTTATAGGGACTTAGTAAAGCTCTGACATCTCTGGGAATTTAGATGTGCATGCATATGCATAGGGCTTTTCACAAGCCAAAGGTTGTATGCCTGATGAGAAAAGACCTGGGAGCATCATTAGCTCTCACATTGACCTTGAGGATTTGCACAGGCAGAAAGTGAAGCATAGGGCAGAGCAGTCAACTTCCTTGTTGAGGGAAGGTGTTCCAACATGCACACAAAACCCTCAACAAAGACTGGGAGAGTTACTGGTTTCAGGTGATTAAGGAAATCCCTATCCAATTATTAATTCAACACAGAACTATCTGAACAAGACATCAGTGTCTATACATTACAAGGAACACAGACTTTACAGAATTAGTTCAGATGAGTCACTAAACAAACAAAAACCAGCAACTACATCAAACCCTTGGCAAGGGGGTAAGTAAATCTAATTTCCAGAGTTATCCCATTATTATTTAAAATATCCAGTTTACCTAAAAAGTTATAGACATTCAAAGAAACAAAAAAATATGTCCCATACATGGAGGAAAAAAGCAAGTCAGTAACCTACCTGAGGAAGTCCAGACATTGGATTTTGTAGACAATGACTTTAAATCATCTATTTTAAATATATTCAAAGAATTGAAGTATGAAAATGATATATCACCAAATAGAAAATATTAATTAAAATATAGAAATTATTTTAAATTCTGGAGTTGAAATACAATAAAACTGAAATCAAAATTCCTGAGAGGTGCTCAGCATCAGATTTGAGCAGGCAGAAGAAAGAATCGACAAACTTGAATGTGAGTCAATTGGCATTTAATTTGAGGAACAGAAAGTAAAAAGAATGAAGAAAAATGAATAGAGCCTTAGAGTCATGGGACACCATCAAGTGAACCAACATATGCATAATGGGAGTCCCATAAGAGAAGAGAAAGAGGCAGAAAGAATATTTTTTAAAATAATGGCAAAAGACTAAAATGTGATGAAAAAATAATTTACATACCCATGAAAAGGTGTTCAAGGTCATTGTCATCAGGGAGGTACATATCAAAATGACAGTGAGATACCATTTCACACCCACTATAAACAAAAAGGTGGACAATAACAGGCGTTGACAAGGACATGGAGAAATTGAAACCCAATTCCTGGTGGGATGTGTGAGCGATACAATGCTGTTTCAGCTGGTTTTGAAAAGCAGATTGGCAGTTTCTCAAAAGGTTAAACCTAGGGTTACCATATGACCCAGCAATACCACTTCCAGGTATCTAAGGGAATTGAAAACTTATCTACCCACCCCTCCCCAAAATCATATAATAGCCAAAAAGTAGAAACAACTCAGTGCCCATCACTGGATGAATACAATGTGGTATAACCACGATGGAGTATTACCAGCCATAAAAGGGAAGAAGTACACATGCTACAGCATGGATGCACCTTGAAAACATGACCAAAGCCAGATACAGAGAGCTCATGCTGTATGACTCCACTTATATGAAATGTCCAGAAAAAGCAAATCCATAGAAACAGAAAGTAGATTAACGGTTGCCAAGGGCTGGGGGAGGGTGTTGGAGAAAAGAGGTAGTGACCACTAATGGGTATGGAGTCTCTTTTGGGGATAAAAATGATCTGGAGTTAAGATGGTGGTGATGGTTGTACTTGCTGGTGAATCTTAACCACTGAATTGCACCCTTAGAGGAGTGAATTTTATGGTACGTGGATTATATCTCAATTTTAAAATCAAGGCCAGTGGTGAAACTTACTTTACATATTTGTTAATAAACTATTTTGGGGTACACCAGTAATCCTTCCAGAAGCTGTGCATGGTAGTGCTGTCAGTGGCTGGGAAATGGATGGAAACTCAGTGGTAACAGCTCATCTGGTTTCAGAGTTTGCTCTCAATGGTTAACACCAGCATCAGGCCAATGGTGCAATAACTTAAAGATCCCAGTTGTGAGCCGTCCAACTCACTTCATCCATTGAATGAAGTCCCCTCAAGGA